GTAACAGAGAAGGAAAAACACAGGTGAAATCCAGACCATACGTGCAACATTCGGATAGGGAAGAAGGTCCTTATAGGATAGGAAGCCTTTCAGAGTGCAGCTGAAAAGGACTGCCTGAGGTTCACAACATTTGCAAGAAGAGTTTTCCATGTGATTTTAGCAATTGATTCCATCTAGGGGCTTCTACTGGGGGGGGGGGGTCAAAAAAATGAAGATAATGCCTGTGACCATGTGATCAAAATCCCCCCCCCCAATGCATATGAAAAAGGGTCAGGGCTTTGCATGATTACAGCCATCCTCTTGATTATATATTCATTTAAGTCTAGGGCTGCCCATCTTGTGTAAGCAACTTTGGGCAGCGAACAATTAAAAAACAATATAATAATACAAAATGAAAATGAAACAAGAATAAAACAAACAAAAAAAACAGCAGTCCATGGATGCCCATTTACTCCATCTGTACTAACAAAGGCGACCTGTCAAGTATTGCATTCAGAGCATTATATGTTAATGAGCAAAACCGTGCATCTGGCTCAGCTGAGTTGCTCCTGCTAGAGTATAATGTAACTTTGCAAACTGATCTAAAAGTTCACTGGTACCAGTTCTATTATCTTGAATTTCTGCCATGCTATAACCATGACTTGCAACATTACACTGATGCATTTGATCTAGTAAGCTTTTTTATCCTGCAAAGCACATCTTTTGTGAATGCTTCTGTATTAATTGTAGCTCTGGCACCAGGATTTTGTGGTCTCAAACATAGTTCCTAGTGCCTTCCCCTAACCTGAGAGAGATGAGATATGCCAATAATTCATTTATTATCTTGAATACTTTCTCTGTGCAAAGTGCAAATGATTGCACTGTTAGGGTAGTGGGCTCTCTGCTGGATTTAGAGCCCTGGCAACTGACCAACCTCGCTATCTTTTAGAATTGCTGGCATTTTCAAGTGGCCTCTGGACATTTAATGCTACTACTGTCCATCTCTTAAATATGACAGAAATAGATCCACTGCAGGACTTCCTGATAAGAAGCAGCAGGGCATTTCTCACACATCTAAAATTTTGAAAAGAGCTCAGTGAGGCTTCAAATATCGCCTCACCAAATACTACCCTTTCTGTTTGTAAACACGAAATGGGAGTAGGAATGGGGAAGAGTAACGTATTCACATATTTTTAATTCAGTTCGTATTTCAAAAGGGTGACTTGCCTTTGGAACATTTCCGACAAAAGAAAGGAGACAGAAGATATTTAGAACTTGTCAAAAGAGTTGCAGTCCAATATTCTATGGATCTAAAGGAAGTTCAACCTAGATTTGAAAAGCTTTTCTGTAGCTCTAACACAGGCTACTTGTATGTGAATAATTAGTTCCCAGTTGCCTGTCATAGCAACCAAAATGTATAGTTGCATGGGAATTACTTCTGTGCTACATCAGAAGTCTCAGTGGGTAGGTGGGAAGACAGAGTATATACTATTGCTTTCCCTTCCTGTGGCTCTGTTTTGACATGATGCTTAGAAAGATATGAGTGTTCTACATTCTGAGAGAAGCTGTGTTCTAAACTCTGCATTAACTTAAAACCAGAGACTTTGTTGTATAGGGCAATTAGTCCAACTCCATGGTCAGTGCAGGGAATCCAGAGCTAGAATCTTCTCAAGATATGGCTCTTCAGAGACATCCGACAAGGGAGAGTCCATCAACCACTCCAAGCTTACAGCTAAAATCCATGTTCCTGTGACTTAAGTCCATTGAATTTAGCTCAGCCTTCAGAGCTAGTAGAGAACAAGTTTTGCTCTCCATCAGACATTTGAAGAGGGCCATGGTATTTCTCTCCCCAATCCTCCCAGCCTCTTCTCCAAATTAAATAAGGCTAGTTACCTTAATTTTTGTTCATAGGTTTTCTTTACCATACTACCAACTATCATGATTACCCTCCTTCAAACCATTCCAGTTTTCCTATGTCCCTTATAATGTGTGAGGCACCAAATTGGACCTAGTAGATGAAATTTGGCTAATGCAGAATAATGTCATTTTGGTGTCTTGGAAACTGTTATTCCATTAAGGCAGCCTGAAATTGCATTAACTATGTTTGCACGTACATCACACTGCTGACTCACATTTAGCAATGGAGCAAACCAAGCAAATGTACATATTCTAGCTTAATCTGAGTACTTAATTCTGCTTCAGGGAGGCTGAAGAAATAAGGAAATAAGGAAGGCCTTTTACTTTGATTCGTGTCAAAGATTTATTAATTTAATCCAGGCAATATTTTAGGTATACCAAGGCTATTCCTATATACAATAAAATGAATGTGTGTAATACAAGGTATGTCGGTTGTCAAAGGCACAGATCACAAAGGTGATTCTTGATAGAAGAATTATAGGTATCTAGAACAAAAAAATACATCAGATGCTCTTAAAATAAGCTGCTTGCTGGGTAAATTCAGCCTATTCCTACTGATATATATTAAGTATTTTAAATAAATAAATAAAGTAAATAAATAAATAATAAATAAATAAATATTCATGTTACAGAGTTGCAGATCCCACAAAGAGTTCAGTTATTTGGACAAGCACAGCTTTAAATAGTAATAAGGACGATATGGAAGCATTAGAGTTATTCTGATTTCCCTCTAATTTGAAAAATGCAGTGTTGATATTTGATATTTTATTGATTGCATGTTTTTCTTTACCATTTACACTATTAGATCCAAACTTAAAATAATCTGTTAAAAATAGTAAGACTTAATTAGGTTGATTTAAATTGCACTGATTTGAGTGGGCCTTTAATGATAGCTGCGTCTGAATCCAACATAATTAATACACATATCTTTTTAACAACAGACTTCTCTGGTGTACAGTATGTGCCATTGTCTTCAGAAGGATGATTTTCTGAATGGAGGCACCCTGTATGTTGAGCATCTGCCCTAATAACTTAGATCTCGATATGAAACCTTCCAATAGTTGGGACAACTCACATTTGGATAATCGTAGACCATGATAGTGTAGCAATACAGTGATCTTATTGAATGAATGGAGCTGGGATTTCAGGCAGTAATGATTTGGGCACTTTGAAAGGGTTTCTAAAGGGAGTTTAGGTTTGTTAAGCCTGTTCAGTGGTTTATGACTTGATTTGGTTAGACTCCTGTACTCTGAAAAATCAACCCTCTGTTCATTGTTTGCCACCAAATTTTGACAGAGTGCTTTCTGGGAAAGCTGAAGGTTCAGGAGCTGCTCCTAGAAAAAAAACACTTTCATTCTCTGCCAATAAGTGAAGATGTGTCTCTGTAAACGAACATTTTGACTTCTCTTGCTTCATTCTGTGCATTAACTGATAGTTTGGATCTTTATGACTTTATCTTTGATGGAACATTTTAAACTGATTATTATTTTTATGCCTTTTATATCTTGTAAGTTGCTTGGGTTTCTTTCTTTGGATGGGAAAAGTAGCACAATATTCTTCAATCAATCAATACATTCTTTTTAGTGTAGCACCTCTTGCTCTGTTTCCTTTCCTGCTTTCATAACTTTCCTAACTTTCATCTCTTTCTTTCAACAGGAAGGGATATTAATAACATGTCCAATGAGATTGGAATATTTTTCCCCTCTCCTTGCTAAAAAGGGACCCATGACTCTCTTGTTTGCCAAGACTTTAAGGGTTTTATTTGCTTTCTGTTTCCCATAGTTGTTTGCCTGGCCTTCTCTGGGAAGCCCTTGCATAGTTTCATTGAGATACATATGTACACCTATAAACTAATGTTAAATGTTTGATGGCTACAGAAAGAAAAAGAGATTACTGCATCTGTTACATTTGCATCTGACATGGATTATTAGAGACTGCTATCTACTCCCTTTTCTATTCCAAACACAGAAAACGCTTTGTGGATTTGACCCCAAATTCATCTTTGCCAGGATTCTGTGTATAGTTGTGACCAACTAATGTTTTTGGGAAGTTCACTGACAAGACATTCAGTGAAGGTGTTTTATTCTAGTTTTGTTTACAGCACCTGCTATTTCACCTCTGTATCGAGAAGTTGTATTTAGCTCTTATGCCTAATATTAATTTTTATTTTGTTAATAAACAAATTTATATGGCTGCCCATATACCAAAAGGAACTCTCGGCAGCAAACAAGAATAAAAGCACAATTATCAAAAAACATTAAACTAAAAAAGACAATACTGAAGCCTCAATAAAATTCCTATCCATAGGTCAAAGACACCTTGCCAGTCCCGTTAACTTCCAGGCCACCCTTTCCTGTGGAAAAACCAGGTCTCTACTGCTTTCCTGAAGGCCAATAAGGTCATTGCTAGACTTATACCTCTCATTCAACAAATCTGGCACCTTGTAGATATTTATGACTACAGTTTTCAGAACCTATAAGCTTATAGGAGTTGAAGTCCAAAATTTCTAGTAAACTAATTCTTAGTAGACTAATACTTAGCAGTTTTGCTAAGATTTAGTATCAACTTACAGAAAGATAAGCAACAGACTTGGTAGTAACTTGCTGGTGAATAGAATTTGGTTTTTATGGCACAGCAGTAAGGATGTTTTAACAAGTCCTGATCCTTGGTAGAATAGCAGCACCTTAAATGTAAAACTACTCAGAAGAAAAGGAGTGATGAGAAGTTTATTTTCAAAGAGGGTTGCAATATGACAGATGAATATCACTTAGGATCTTGCAAGCTAAATAGAGCCATCAGCATGAATTGTGGCCTGCCAGCTACTTGACGATCTCTTGTTTTGTGGTATTACGGAGACCGCAAAAACAGGAAACTTACTGAGCACAATGCATGGCTGGTTGTCTCTATTCAGCTTGGTGGATCACAAATTGTGCAGACTTGAGGTACCATGTTTTGAGAATCCAGTGAAGCTACTAAGAGCCTGAATAATACAGAATTGTATTCTGGCTTAGATTTATAGCTGAAATAGGAAACTACTAAGCACACCAAGAAAAATATATAGCATCCCCAAGTTTCACTCTTGAATTCTCTTTCTCCTCTCTCAGCATGCTATGGAATTGTTCAGGTTCCCACCGGACCATGGTTCTGTCGAAAATGTGAATCTCAAGAAAGAGCCGCCAGGGTGGTGAGTACACATTGAAACCATGTCAAAAGAACAGGATAAAACTTGTTTAGTCTGTGCTAGTTAACATATGGCTCAGGATACAGTAACAGTTAACCACTTATATGTGAAAGGTGCACAAATGGAACATGAAAACAACAGCCCGCAACAATTGCTTCGCCCTACCATCTGTAGCATTGGTAGACTCTGAACATGGAGATTCTAAGATGTTACATTTTTTGTAGCTGGTGTATATATTATTAGATAGTTCAACTACACTCATGTAGATCTAATTCTTAAAGGGACCACTTAGAGGGCATAGAAATGTCTCTCTCCTATCCATTTTATAGACCCTTGGAAAGTCCCTTTATTTTAGGTGCATCCACATTTCTGACATTTGCCACCTTATTGTTGTAAAAAATATATCAACTTATGAAATTTGCATATCTAATTTGGTTTGTTTAAAAAGGGAACCAGTCGCTTTTTGTTAGGAAATAATTACATTTTGATATGCTGAAGAATCTCGTTTTCAGTCCTAGATTTGCCAATCTTTCAGACAGCCCCCACTCGTGTGCCTATGACAGCAGTTTGAAGAACAGGCAAGAGTGGGAGAAAGAAACATTGATTTCTTCAAATTCTTCAAATTAATTTGGTCTTTAAAGTCATAAAGGACATAATTATTCTCTTTTATTTATATGATCTTGATACATTAGCAACACTTCCTCGTGGCATACAAGGCTTAAAAGTCCAGGTCAGGAAGGCAAACAAGAGTTGTCTTTACTGTATTAAACAAGAAGCAAAAGGCCCAGGAAACTCTTGACTATACAGCAGTGTTCCTCCACCTTGGGAACTTTAAGAGGTGTGGACTTCAACTCCCAGAATTCCCCAGCCAGCATGGGGAATGGGGAATTTTTAAGAGGTGTGGACTTCAACTCCCAGAATTCCCCAGCCAGCATGGGGAATGGGGAATTTTTAAGAGGTGTGGACTTCAACTCCCAGAATTCCCCAGCCAGCATGGGGAATGGGGAATTTTTAAGAGGTGTGGACTTCAACTCCCAGAATTCCCCAGCCAGCATGGGGAATGGGGAATTTTTAAGAGGTGTGGACTTCAACTCCCAGAATTCCCCAGCCAGCATGGGGAATGGGGAATTCTGGAGTTGAAGTCCACACCTCTTAAAGTTCCCAAGGTGGAGGAACACGGCTATACAGTACTCAGACACAAGTAAATCCATTGCCACCTACTGGCTAAATAAAGTAATTATTCTTCTACAAACTATTTTTTCTGAAATAGCAACATCAGCTGGATCCTTTTAGTCTCTTGTTGGCTCCTCCAAATTTGGGGGGGGGGGAAGGAGGCGAATCTCATGCCTAGCCAAAAGTCTTCTGATGTCTGGTCTGGTGCTCCCTCTCCTCCCCAGATTTAAAACATTAAAGGATTTTGTGCAGCTAATGAAATCGTGATGCTGTAATTGGCAAGAATGGCCGAAAGCTGTGTTGGCCTCAGAATGGGGAGGGGGAGGGGATGTCAGATGCAACCCCTTCACTGACTACAACACCCAACTATGATTTTCTTGGCCACTCAGCACAGAGTGAAAATGCAAGCCTGTTAAGGCAGTGGGTCCTCTCCTATTCTTGGGATTTTGAGAAATGCCAGTTTTGACACCCTTTGGACCTGGCCCTATAAAGAAGCCAAAAAGATAGGGCAGTTGTATACATTCTACCTATTACACACTTGGAGAAAGAAGGCGTAACATTTCACAAAAGAGAACAAAGGAAGGCCTAGGTTTCTCTAACAAAGAGTCACTTTGTGTGAGATGGGCAGCTATACAAATATGATAAATAAATAAAATATCCTGATTTGTATGTTAAAGGCAAATTTAGACATAATTACTATAATTTAAATAGAGAAAAAATATATTTTGGGCAGGACTGTGATGAGGGACCTGTGTGTGCTTCTGGCTGCTGGTCTCACTCTTCCTGGCTCTTTACCTTTAAATTGAGCATAGACCAGACAGTTCTGCCTAAACCAGGATGACCCAGAAAACAGAAGGAAGGAAGGTCCATCATGAGGAAGTCCAGCTGGGACACAAGACAGATGGTTTTGTGGGAGGGCTGCATTTGTAAACTAAAGCCTCCTTTGAGTCAAACTCTATGTCCATGATTTGATTGGGGGGGGGGAACAGTACAGAAGTGGTTGGCCATTGCCTTCCTACAGAATGATTTCTCAACTTCCCAATCTAAAGGCCTGGTAAGCCTGATGGTCTCCCATCCAAGTACTAACCAGATCCATGTCAGCTTACTTTTTCATGATTAGCCAAAATTGATGAGGTCTTGCCACCTAACTGACCAAGTAGGGGCAGAGTGGGCTTTATTATGAAAAGGGATAAGGGTAGTAAACTAAGAGCTTCAGTATATAGAGAAACATATAGGGAGCAAGGGATGAAAGAGATGAAGAAAGAAAGGATGCTCATCTGCTTTTTTTTGTGAGCTGAATGGAAGAGGAACTGTTGCTGTGGCCAGTTGTTGTGTTACTATTTTGATTTACTGGCTTTCTGCCTGTGTAAAACTAAATAATTGCAAGAAGTAGTAAGTGGAGAGAGGGATGAAGGGTCTGGAAATCTTAGCTAGGAGAGATAACAGAAGATAAATATGTCACAAGTAGGAAGCAATGCAGTGTCTCTAGCCCAGCACTCACGATGGAGCTAACTATGAACCTGAGGAAGACCATCTTTATTATTAGCTAGATGAGCGTAATTGCTGCTTACATTTGCAAGGACTGAAATGAAGCGCTTTAAGTATTATACCTACTAGGATGACTGCATATTGTTCCCAGTGAGGGAAGACTTGCAATGTGGATTCATAAGAGGGATTTGCCCCTGGCTACTCCAGAAGAAACAGATGCATGTAAAAATCCTGCTGCCCAGATTCTTTCTTAACTAGTATTTCACCTAACTAATGAGCATGTTCAGAATGGAAGATTTTTATAAAAATGAGAAGCTGCCTTGGAGGGGACCCATTTTGGGGAATGAAGAGGTATATAGGTGCAAGAAACGAGCTCATGTTCTGTTGAGGAGCTCTCCTTGCTAGTTGTTTTGTATAAGCTGTTACTTTCCTCCTTTGCAACCAGGAAGTTCTCTGTGTTTATTACCAGGTAAAAAAGAAATAAGAGTCAATTTCTCATCAATGAGAAATCTGGTACTGTATATGTAAGTTAGGGATAACATGTTTAGCAGTACCCTCGCATGATAGGTCTGATTCACTTTAATCTTTTAAGATATATCATTTCCCCTGTTTGATTGAGGTCAAAGGCAATTCCTAGTGAAAAATAAACGGAAAATGAATATTAAGATTAATTAGAATTAAAACAAACTTCAGAGCTTGCCAATTAAAAATGCTACGATCTACTGAAGGGCAACAGCAGAAAACAGCAAAAGGCAATATGTATTTACAGTCCTGGGAAAATAATTCCAAAGGGAAAAAAGGAAACGTTTATACTAAATTTGCTACTTAAATGCTCAAATTGCAGCCTCCTAGGTGCAACAATCAACTTCTAAGAGGTCAGATAGCAGTAGAAACTAGACAGCAACAAGGCAGACACCACTACTGGTAGTGTTCTGAGTGCCAGCTACAAAACCAGTTTTGCTGCTCCAGTAGACAAAGGCAAAGAACCAGTAACTAGTTCAACAGCCTCTATTAAATCCACTCACTGAATTGTGGCAATAAGGGTTTCTATGCAGAACTAAAGTAAGCCAACAATAATACATGGCAAAAGGCAATCAGCCATGAACACATCTGTCAGATTTCTTAGGGAACCAAACTATTTAACCAAACTATGAAGAATACATAGACAGCTATGGCAAAATAGACTGTAATCTTGGCTCAAGCAGTGAGCATTCAGTCTGCTGCTTCATATAAGCTACCGCAGAACTTGAATGGTACAAGCCAGTGCTCTTTCTTGTGCAAGAGGTGATCCTGTTGATTTGGCATCACCCTTTTTGAAGCAGTAGAACAGAAATCAGTCAGATTATGTCCCAGTCTGATTGTAGATTTTTTAGTTCTATTAAAGCATTTTCATTTCCTTCAGAATTGCGCACATTTTTATGCCCTTCAATGAAAGTTAAAGAAAGAAAATCTGGTTTGCAAGTCTCCCATGTACTGGAAGTGAAAAGGCACAGATATAGTAAGCATCTATTTATTAAAAGCCATCTGGAAGGTGGAAGTTGGCAAAATTGAATGCTGAACTGAAGAGACTTTCAAGGCATGTCTGGATCCATGATATGCTATGAGTCAGTGGTTGAACAATCTTAAGGGAAGTATAATACTATCCCTGTTTATTAGAAGACAATCCAGTTGCTCACATTGTTCCAAGTGGGTTTCATATTGCAAGTTTTTGGATTCTCACTTGAAAGTATGCCTCTTACTATTTCTGAATTATGCACATGGGGTTAAATTACAAGGAGCTTGTTCTTTTCTTAGCCATTGGGACATTTACTTGTTTGTTTATAATAATTGGTATAAAAATCATGCATACTATCTATAAGTGATTTAAAATGCAGTTCTTCTGTGTTTTATTGAACTCAAGTATTAAACGTAAGTTATTTCAAAAAGTACATAGCTAAAGCAAATAACATATACTATGCAGTTATTTCATCTTTCCTTGAGTAACAGAGCTTATGTGGTAAGAAGGTGGGAAAAAAAAGAAAAAAAATGAACCACTGGAAGGTTACAAATGGAAATTGGCATTGTTCAGATTCTGCCCCCCCCCGCCCCCCGGATATGCACACAAATAAAATCCCATGAATTAAGCCGGACGTTTGCATAATACAAACTTTGAGAAAAAGGAAAAGTAAATACTCCAAGTGCCAGTGAAAATGTGTATATGTATTATGAGCCAGATGTGCTGTAGATAAACTCCCTTATCAAAGGCATTACGAAACAAACCCATGTAAAACAAACCCATGGGAAACAAATTTTAATTTATAATAATAGTCAGATAACCAAATAAGACAAGGCATTGTACTGTTTTAAAAGAACACAATTTTAAAAGTAAATTCAGCATATTAGGGCAGGGGGTTTTAAACTTCTTCAGGTATAGAACCTATTAATTAAAAAAAAAACAACAACTGAACCCCTGATCAAGAGGCAGAGCTCTACTGATCGAAAATTAGCTGTGTTTGAGAGGTTTATTTATTTATTTGCCCTTCATCTCTCATGGGACTTCATTGTTCTTGCAGAACCCTAGTGTTTTGGGGAACACAGTTTGAAAAGCCCTGTGTTACAACATAGGATTGCAGCATTGGCTCCAATTTATCAGATTGTATATAAAACAAGTACTGGTAGTCCTTGTTTAGTTACCACAACTGGGACCAGCAACTCCGACATTAAGCGAAGCAGTCACTAAGTGAAACCACGACTATGCTTCTGATCTTATGTCACCTTTTCTGCGAAGGTCGTAAATGTGAGGATTGATCGCAAAGTTACTTTTTATCACTGTCATAACTGTGAGTGGTGTCACTAAATGGGGCAGTCACTAAACGAGGACTACCTGTGCTATAAATCATTATGTTTTTTAACTGTGATCTTGCTATTATGTAAAAAAACAATATATGGCTTTGTCTTAATTCATTTTCAACTTCCTTAATTCATTTTCTGCTCTCTGCACAAAACAAACTTCAGCTAGAAACCCCCTATGAAATGGTTCTTTGTCTATTTTCAGAAATGTTTTAGCTGTTTTTTCCAGAGAAGGAGCAGGAAAATAGGGTGGAATTCAGCAGCTCAGGCAGTTCAGGCCACAGACCAGCTTTGACCCATCCCCACCAAATCCCATTGAAGTATCATCCACCCTCATTTTCCAACTCAGCAGAACCAATTTGTGTTCTAGATGCTCAGGCACTGTCAACTGTTTCTAAGCCACACAGAACCTTGCATTAAGCCCAGAATTGTAGTTTTGCTGGAAGAATCACCCCACCAGCATCTGTTTTGCTGGCTAACACTGAGTCATATAATGTATGAAGTAGTAATATGGGCATGAATACTTCTAGTTAGGGAGATGCTGATCACTCCTGAATAACTACAGCTGGATCCCAGATGTTGAGATTGACAGTTTCCAGATGTAGCAAGCCCAAGGTGCTGCTGCTTTTAGGAATTGTAGTCATGCATTCTCCTTCTTCAGTGTCTTCCTAAAGCCCCTTTAGGGATGATTGGCTCCATTAGATAAAGGGAACACCAGAGCTCAGTTTGCTTTGTAAAGGAATTGTCTCCTGTTCTTATGAGATGGATTAACTACAGGGCAACTCCTGGGAAATGGAGGGAAATTCGTGGACAGTTTTTACAGTCTTGTTTAAGCAAGGAGTGGATGGGCTGGCTGGCTGGCAGGCAGAGTGTTTCATCCTTCATGTTTATGTTTTTCCTAATAATCTGGGGCAGAGGGGCTTTGAACCAAAGAGGATGGAAGGGTCTTTTCAATTGCAAATTTCCTGATGTGAGGCCACCTGCCACACACTGACCCCTGGCTCTTGTTCCTCTTCTTTTTTTCAGCTCTCTCTCAAGAGATATGCACATCCTTGTGGGAAGCAGGCCTAATTGCCTAAGTCCAATTCCTCAATAATCATTCCATGAAAGCTGCCCCCAAAGATCTACCCACCCACCCCCATTGTCACTTGGCTTTTTCACCAATCTTATACAGGCTGAGGATGTCCCAGGCTGAGGATGCCCCAAAACCTGACACTTTTTCTGTGGTCTTTTTTCCTTTTTTGGGTGACGAGCACAATCCACATATGTGCAATCTGAGAAATATCTGTTGTGACTAGGATCAAGGCAAAGGATAAGGGAACAGAAGTTCTGGAACAACAGGTCAAGAAATAAATTGGCTTGACTTACATTTTACTGATCCCTCCTCAATTAATACCAATCCCTTTTGTTGTGTTAAACTATGTCAAATTAAGCATTTCTGCATTAAAAAAATAAGTAGGTGTTTGGGTTTGGACAGGTTATATAGCTTTCTCAGGGGCACATTGTGATGCAAGTAAGGAGTGGAATATGGCTAAAAGCAAAAAAATTAACCATAACTTCCCTGGTTGAAGATTTACCTGGCACAGTGCTGAAAATAATATATTTCCAAGCAATATCTTGTTCATATCTCTTTATTCTAAAATCTGTTTCATTTCTAAGTTGGTCTCTAGGCTTTTTTAAATCTGTATTTAAATGTATATTTCAAACACATTTTCTCTAAAATGTGTGATTTAAAACATACTTCCATCCAGCTTTCTCACTGTTACTTTTTATTACTATATGGAACTAAGAGCTGCACTGAAACATTTTGGATGTTCTTCTGTCTGATCAAGAATGATGAGAGTTGTAATATTCTGAAAGTACTTTATTGAAAGTACTTTATCACTCCTAACCTTGGGTCTTTTTCTTGAATTTACAGAGGTGTGAGCTGTGTCCTCATAAAGATGGAGCACTGAAACGGACTGATAGTGGAGGTGAGCTTACTTTTGATGGTAGCAGGGCAGCCCAGAATTCATTTCTCAGCCTAATCAAGGAATATTTGCTTTTCAACTACTTTTTACATCTTTTCCTTCCGCCACATTCCATGAGGCCTCATGGTATATAGAGTTAAAATCAAGATCAAAACCATAGCACAGTAATAAATAAATTAAAATAGACAAAAAAGAATAAGCAAAAAAATTAAACTTCAGCAGAACTATTAAGGTCATTATTAAGAAGCATACCATGATTAGATCTTAATCACTAAATGCCCTTCAGAATAGTTCCATCTTTTAGGTTTCTCAAACTGATGGGCAAAGGTACTGTCCAGCTCTCCAGGTGGAAGCTGTTCCAAAGGGTGAGTGCAGCTGCTGAAAAAAAAAAAATCTCACTCTCTCCCAAATTTCCTAAGGGGAGGGACCTTCAGCATATCCACACAGGACACACACACAAGTTGGGTACAATCTCCTTGAATTAAACAGTCCTGCAGGTACCTGAGAGCCAAACTATTTTAGGTCAAAACCAGCACTTTGAATTTGTACCTGGAAGCCTATTGGCAGCCAATGCAGTGCTCGCAACACAGGTTTTATGTGTTTGTCACAGCAGTTAATCCAGATATTTGCCAGCTCCCTTGGGATACAGTGATGATAACACCACTTCCTCACTCCATCTCTAGGACATAAGGAGTCACATGTCATTTGATCACCATTACAAATAATAATTATTAATATATTTTTGTTTCACCCAGTAACAATTTTTTTTTCAGGCAGACTACATATGAGTCTTTAGATAATTAAGGCTCCCTTAAAGCTGTGGATAAATGAAAGTTGGATCTATGAGAAAGAAATTATGGCTGGTTGGGAAGCTTTGAGAGGGGAATCAACAAAGATGTCATTTTCACTGTGACAGTAAATCTTGTGCATTACCCAGAGGATGTCAATCTTGCATTAGGGTTTTTTACATCATCAAGTCAATTGCTTGTTCAGTGCAGGAATTGCAGTTCAAGCACCTACAACAGCACAGAATCATAATGTTAATTCACAGCTGTAGATGCAAATTTAAATACAAATATAGTACTTCTCACAAAAGTGGGGAAAAGACTATAATCAGGGGATCAGTATGTTTGTTGAGTCTCCAAGTGCTGACTGCTGTTGGTCAAATTCAAAGCCCCGCTCTTCTCCCTTGATAGGATTATATGCTTTAAACTAGGTTTGGGCTAGATAAGCTTATGTATCTTTTTCTCCATATAGAAAACAAATACCCTGTGCACCAGTAATTAGCATGTGGGGAAAAACCTAGATTAGAAGCTTTTCCCTAATTTTGTATTGCCTCTATAGAGATAATTGGCTCTGTTTGGAGGAACAATTGGTCATTTAGGCCTCACTTGTGGTCTGGAAGATGAAGTTTTATTACCTCAGTGAAAATCAAGCATAAAAGCTTGATCTCCCACAGGATACCTAAACCAATTACTGATGGTTCATCTGATTGATGCCTTTCTCTGGCATGTTCCTTATTTTCTATGTATCATTTTTGTTCTTCTGTCATCCAGGCTGGGCCCATGTTGTCTGTGCTCTGTATATTCCTGAGGTGCAGTTTGCAAACGTTCTCACCATGGAGCCTATTGTCCTCCAGTACGTGCCCCATGACCGCTTCAACAAGGTAAAAGAGAGATCTACCACAACCTACCCAACCCGCTTCTATTTTAAATTCTTAAGGCCAGTCCACACATTAAATTAAATACTATAGCATACAGTTTCCCTGGTGTTTGTTTACATTACTGTTTTTTTAAAAAAGTGTAGGGTCCCAATCCTGTGTAGATAAAAGTGAGTAAAGATTTCAACCCTTATGGTGTCAGCTTATGGTGACCATATGGAAAACATCCATGGATTTTCTGGGTCATAGGACAAACTTGGTTTCTCATTGCTTCCTTCTGGGTTGTTTTTACAACTTCTCAGTCTACCAAAATACAAGTCTGATATTCTCTGGTAGTCGATTCTAGCACTTACCAGGCCCAACTCTACTTAGCTTCCAAACCCAGACAAGATTGGCCAGGTAATTTAATATAATTTTGTGCCTCTCCACCCTATTGCAAGTTTTTTTTTGTAAAGATGTTTTGTTTCTCTTTTACATTTTCATGAGGAGGGAGGAAGAACAAATTTGAAAAGTAGAGGTGGAAGGCTTAAGTCTTCCCCATCCACACACAGAGGTATCATCAAGATTGCATTCCCATGTGAGTAATGTATCAAACACACACACACACACACACACACACACACAGAGGCAGCTGCATCTTGTTTACAGAATTATGGAGTTGGAAGGGACCACCAAGATCCCACCCTCTTCATTGTGCAAGAAAACCAATTAAATCATCCTTGCGTAGTGACTATCCAGTCTCTTAAAAATCTCCAGAGATGCAGAACCACTACCTCTGTAGATAGACTGTTCCACTATAATACATATCTTACTATCAGGCAGTCGTATTATGTGGTATTGTCCTCAGGCTCTTTCCAGAGATCACTGTCCTATCTTGAATGGCTATGAATTCTATAATCCCAATATCTGAAGGGCACCAGACTATTCTATGCTGTTATAAGTTATTATATATTGGCAAACCAGTGCCATCCATAAAACTGCATTTTGGGGTCTCTACCCAGAGGCACGTGCAGATGAAGTTATATTGTTTTTGTTGCAGACTTGTTATATCTGTGAAGAACAGGGCAGGGAGAGCAAAGCGGCTTCTGGAGCCTGCATGACTTGCAATCGTCATGGCTGTCGGCAAGCCTTCCATGTTACCTGGTGAGTCCATAACTGTATGTTTCAAAATCAGTTTCTGTTCCCCAACCTATCAATTTCTTCCATCACTTTTATGAATCTGTGAAATACTGTTAGCTAGTGAGAATGAAGAACTCCGCTGATTGGTTGAAGCTTCCTTCTGGATCCTGAAAGTTTGACGGATGTTTTCCTTCTGGTTTATTTTCCCTCTTTAGTGATATATCTTAAGACAGTGTTGTCCAAACTTGGCCACTTTAAGATGAGTGGACTTCAACTCCAGAATTCCCCAGCCAGCCATGGGAGTTGAAGTCCATTCATCTTAAAGTGGCCAAGTTTGGACAACACTGTCTTAAGAAGACTATTTCCAACGGAGGCAGGGATTGTACCCATTTTCTACCACCCTGCCCTCCCAACCTCCTGTTATTTACTCAATGAAAATCACAACTCTTCATTATCATTTCAAATCTGTATAGAGGGATGGCCATCACTTTGGGCATTTAATTTTCGGTCCGTTTCCTTATAAATAACATGTCCTTTGCCTTTGCACCAAAAATGAAACCAGAACTTTAGGTAATGTTTAAAAAAAAAAAAGAACTTGGTGGGGGTGGGGATAGGAGAAGGGGTTACATTCCTGAGGGAGACATGGAAAGCAGAAGAATATTGAATGCTGCTCTACTGTTTTTCTACCGCACCGTGTTTCTTATCTACTTTTGTCCAAACTGTGGCATAAACACGACTGGGGAAAGTGACTAAGAAGGAGCCTTCTGGGAAAACAGTGGAAGGCAAAAGAAGAAATACATATCCTGCCCCTGCCTTCCATTTCTCTCTTTATAAATCTCCCCCCATTCTTGATGCTTTTTAGATGCTCCAGAGAGGCCTGGATTCCTGGCCCAAGTTCACTGACAGATTTCTTATTCAGTGAAGAAATAGACAGCAGGGCAAAAGAGGCCTGAATGAACAACAACCTTCTTCTGATAAAGGACAGGGGCCAACAGAAATATATATGACCCTTCCAGTTTTTTTACTTTTTTTTTTTAATAGAAAAAATGGGTTAGCTCCACTCCACAGATCAGACACTTAGGTCTGAGCATTTAAAAATCGAATCTTCTTCTCTTTGCCATATCCTTTTTTTTTTGTATCAACAACAGCGAGGAAAAAGACAGACAATAGACCAATGATTAACTGTTAATAAAATAAATCTCCTTATCACTAATTAATATACTCCTGTTAAAATATTAGGGTATACTCCACCAATATGTACTGTATGATGGCAGCTTGAGTAAATCTTGTCTCCTTTCTGATGTTATCAGCTGTTACACAAAATTTTGTATAATGTGCTCATGCAAAAAAGAAAGCAAGAGCAGTACGGTGGGTCTCAGATCTTCATTGACAAATCAGATCGTGGTTGGCAACCACCAAGAGTAGCAAGGAAATCTGTGTACTGTTTTTTAAGTGTTTGCTCTGTAACCATTTCAGGGCTGATGGCTCTGCTATTAGTGTGTTGGACAGGGGTGAGGAGGTGCGTGGAGTAAATTATTTCTCTTATTTATATAGCTTCTTTAAAAGATCAGAAAAGTTGAATTAGTGAGTTAGGGAGATCAAAACCTGGTTTGGCTGTGATGCCCAGGGCTCAGTTCATATCAATTCATTTCCATATTTCAGTGCTCAAATGGCTGGACTTTTGTGTGAAGAAGAAGTCTTGGAAGTTGATAATGTGAAATACTGTGGCTATTGCAAGTACCATTTCAATAAAATGGTGAGTTATTACCTCCTTGTTATAACCATAAAATAAAATTGAGATGTTTCCCAAGGTTTAATGGAAGCTACGGATATAAACCTGGGGATTTTTGCATGTGCTTTATTCCTGGGATATGGTCCTTTCCCATAAACCACCGGTCTTTAAGTTCAGCAGCTTAAATCACAGAAAGTGCCAAAGCACCCAATTCAAAACTCGATTTCAACAAAGGAGACCAAGGAGGCTGCAAATGTAGGAGGAGACATTGTCAGTGAGTATGAGGGAAAGATTACAGTTATTAAAACAGATATGTACAACTTCTTGCAAGCCAAAGGCTCCCCTTGGCTTTTGAGAGGCATCTTGGAGGCTGCACTGCAAAGAAGTACGGTAGTGCAGGACAAAGAAGTGTGCCAAGAGAACAAGAATTATTTAGTCATTTAATTTATAAGTACATGAAATACAACTGATATGATTATAGCCCATATACTGAATCATGTTGACATTCTGTTGCATTAAAAGCTACAGTTCTCTGGCAATTTTTGTGTAAGTTCCGGGGGATAAGTCCAAAGCTGTTGGAGATGGTGTATGGTACAGGATCTAGAGTTGTACATTTGTACTAGAACATTTTAACTGAGATAAAATCCTAAATGCCATTGACTCTACTGAAAGCAAAACCATTGATTTTAGCAAGACGATAGCAGTTTGAGGGAGGCTTTCCTTCTAGTGACTGTAAATACACATTCCTTTTGCTGATAGGTTTTTAGTTTTGGTTTAGTAACTTGCTGTACCTGAAGTATCAGATAAAACACTTATTTTTTTAAAAAAAATCTTCACTTACATGAAGGAATTTTCATCTTTCTGCAGCATTAATGCCTACTTCTTCCATCGAGCCCCATCTATTTAGATTAAGTGAGAATGTCATCTTAACCCAGGCAATAATATTACCTAATTTTAAAAAAAGGAATAGAATGCTGTCTCTTAGATTTTTTTGCAAATTATTTGTAGATCTTTTGTCTTCTGCACATTTGCAACCACTAACATTATTTTTCCCAAATGTTAAAACTATTTCTTGTTTAGGCAAAATTAGCCAACGTGGAGGAATATTAATTCATGTTTTTTCTGTAATATCAGTCAGCTTCCCTAGGCATTTTATTTTGATGTTTTTTCTTTTCCTATAGTTTTCAATATTTTCAATAGCACAACTTAACTGAAGATTTCCCAGAAAGTAGGGGCCAAATGGTACAGCCATATTAGTTTACTTGTATCTGCCCATGTTCATGAATAAAATAAGCATTGCATCAGCAAAATTACATAAGAATAGCATATTAAAATTAAAATAGCATATTAATAAGAAGAAATTAAATCCCTGCTTAGTAACACCAACTTCTGTCAAGTGAAGCCTTAGTTGAACCCTTTCATGCTGAGATTTCCAAGTTTCTTAAAAATAGATTAAAACACTACCAAAAAGACATGAGAAGATAGGAAAGCAGAACTTCCCTCTCCCTAATATATGTTCCATCATTTTTCTTTTCTGGTTCATTCTTGTATATAAAGGAAGCCGGGATAAAAGTGGCCAAGTAGAACTCTACTTGCTCTGAAAATGGATTAATTTCTCTCAAGCATTTCAAGTGAACACCCTTGTTAAAGAAGATGATGATATTGGGTGTTGAGTGGTGTGCTAATGGGCCCAATTTACTTCCTTCCCCCCCAAAAATTGTCTTGCTCTGAAGTAAGCTTTCCCCACTTGTGAATTAGGACCTGATATTGTGTGTTTGCATAAGCAGAATTGTAGTATCTGCTTTGCTCTGGTATAGAAAGCTACATGTGTTGCCTATTCTAAATCTGTTCATGCCCAGGATATGCTGCTACTTCTTGGTTTCTCATGAAACTTCCAGAAGTGACAAGATAGGAGGGAGACCATGCAGCCCTCCATGAACATTTGTAAGGGGATTAGTCTGTCCACTACTTGAACTTTGTACTAAAAAACATAGTTGCTCTAACACACCACCGTTTGCAAGGAATGTCTCCAGTTTATTCTGTCTAGAGCCCAAAGAATTGTTTTGGAATTAAGCCTGAGTTCTCCATATGATGCCAGTGCCATGTCTATATCTAGAAAACTATCTAATTCCTATATCTAGAAAACTAATGTTTCAGGGAGAAAGTTAGGCTGGGTCTCATTGCCCCAATCTTGTGTAGAATATTCCATAACTGACCACAGGGGATTCCTCAGTTGTGGTGTAAATGTGGCTTTCTAGTGCACAGTACAAGTGAATTGAATGCTTGGATCAGAGAATGGCTTCTTGTGCCAAAGAGACGTCTCAGATTTTAGTTTTGTCTTGCATTCTGCACAGGCAGATGCTGAACTACCTTTAAAACAAATAAATGAGACATGTATATACAGCTGTAGATTTTATATCCTTCAGGTGGCATCTATAGCAGAATCGGTTAAGACAAATGCTAGGATGACTTTGGTTCTTTGGGTGGTACTCATACAATTGTATTAGGGAGAGACCAGTACTCAAGCGTAGCTGGGGAGAAGCTAGTCCATATCCGGAAATCAAGTTTGACTTCCAGATAAGAATGATGGAATAGCCCAAGTGTCCTCTCTAAAATGAAATACCCTGCCTTTCACTACTCATGATCAAGTACACTCCGTGGATATCATCTGAAGTAATGTTTTGGATCTTACACTGAGATAATATTTTTTGGCATTTAGCATTATTTTTTTCATTGTTAATATTAACAAGTTGCATAGCTCTGAGCAAATTTGCTTTTACAGTTTTTTATCTCGTTTGTTTTCAGGACAGCCCAGGGAGGTAGGTAAGGCATAGCACTCCCAGGGGCATAACTGGGGTTTGATCTCAACCTTGGTGGATTAACTTTCCATGCCAGGGTGAAAAAACCTAATGAACTTAATAACAAAGGGAAGAACAATGCTGATTTTGAGTAGGCTGCCTCTCCTGTTACCAGGACTTAAAAGAAAGGCCTTCACATCATCATATTAAATTACTGTCTCCGTAGGCCTGGCCATAGGCTCTATTGATACATATTCCTATTAGGGCACCTTCAAGATGGTTTGATTCCTGAGGCACATCCTTCAGGGGGAATGAATCCACATGGTACATCCCTGCCCCCACTCCCCCAGCTCTCTGATTACAGCCCTATCCATGGGGAGTTCTATCATGAAATAAACAGAAGCTAGATGTGAGCACTTACTCCTGTATTCTTGTGTAGACCCTACTTCTCACTGAGTTTTAAGAAGGTGAATGGCTACCTCAGCCTTCTCCAACCAGCATCTTCCATATGTGTGAATTATGACCCTATCCTTCCCAATCAGTACCAGCTAAGGTTGTGAGAGTTATAGTCCATCATGTCTGAAAAGCACCCAGCTTGGGAGGGCCAGATTACTAGATCATGTCCTTGAGGACAAACCTCTCTCTGATTCTCAGGATCTGTCTCTGGTGGTGTCCATTGCATGTTATCTCCTAATAGGTAACTTCCTAACTTGAATTCATGATTTTTTTACTAGGGAAGTGAAGACCAAGCTAGATAGCTCAATGATAAAGCAGAGGATCCCAGGTTCATTCCTGGCATCTCTATATAGATTTCTACCTGAAATTCTAGAGTGCTGTTCCCAATGACTGTTAATGGTACACTAGCATAATATAGTATACCACAGTATTAAGTATAGGACAGTACAGTATAGTTAGATGTGCCAATATAGAGCAATGTCCTACATTCCTAATTAGAATGTTCTTTAAAAATAATTATCATCCATAAGCAATTGCTTTGAAGTTTGGGATTAGGAAATGGCATTCCTGAAAAATGTGTTTAACAACTGTCCTTGCAAGTTGCATTCCTGTCCTAAATTATGGTTTTTCTCCAACATGATAAAAGACAACAATGGAAGCAGTGGTTTGATTGCTGATAAAATATGGGTGATTAACATTGGACAAGAGGGTGTAGAAAAAAAGAGTTAAATACTCCTTCTGAAAGCAACACTACTGATCTTCTAAGCAGCTACTTGGGTAACAGATTACTATTAAAACAACAACTACATCAGAGATCTGTGGTCTTGCATCTTACGTTGTTTGTCTTTGAGGCTGATAAAAAGGTGATGGCTTGCTATGAGTCATTTCTATTAAGCTTTTGGGCTGACCAGGGTTTTAAGCCAAATCTCATGGGCCAGCTTGGATCTTTCTTCTAAGACTAAGTCATGGCCCTGAAAATGAGCTCTGGCAGCTTGAAAAATCTCCAGCATGGAGCTTGCTTGGCATAAAATATTAGTGGAAACGTCTAGGAGGAAGAGGTTTTTGTGAATCATAAAACCAAACTGCTATAAGTAGTAGAATCCTATCAGTTCTTCCTATTTGCTTTTACTTATCTCTTCTGCTCCCATCTGATCCAACATCCTCTCCCTAATTCCCACTTGCCTCCAGAAGACATCGCGCCATTTTGGAGGTGGTTCTTTTACTGGAGGAAGGAGGAGTCGGTCAGCATCGCCTACACAAGAGAAGCATGTGTCTCATCATGAGAAACCAAAGAAGGTAAGAGAGAAGAAGACAAATGAAAAAGTAAAATACAAAGGGGACAGATCAAGGATTGAGAATAAGTGCACATATTATTAGATGGAATATGTATTTCAGGACTTAGCCTTTTTTATGCCAAAGCAGATTAAATCAATTAGGCAAACTTTATCAAAGTTTCTCTGTATTCTTTCTTTTCTTCCATACCTGTCAGAATTAGTATTGGTTGCATAATTCGACATCTGGAAAATATTATTTGCTAAAATAATTGGATACTTCCAAGTAAGAATAAGGACAACATTTGGGTTGATTTATACTACTTTTCACAAACTCAGTTCCACATTCAGTAACTAGCTAAGAGTAGAAGCTTTACAAACTCAGCAAGATTAGATAACTTCCTCTATTGCAGGCAAGAAGAAAGTTGTAGATATGCAGAAGATCCACCACAGAAATCCATCTGTGTCTGAATATCAGCATCAACTCCAAAGTTTAAATCCAGGCTTTTTTCTTCCACTCTTATGAGTCCATGGGAAACGGAACCAGCCTTGTTAATTTCATGACTGTTTTTATTCTGTGTCTCTCAGTACCTCTGATCTACTTGAGAAGCCTAGTGAAATTAAGAAGCTTTATCATTTTCATCATCTTTTGCAAACTACCTACTATTGTAGATGCATGTAGAAGTTGTCAGTTTTATTGCTTTCAAAAATGGTGGTGCTAGGAGGAAAGATGGTCCTACCAGAGATGGGATGGTAGCACAGCTTTTTCCTGCCAATTATCCTCCAGAAATGTTGAAATTGAAACCTAGGAATTCCCAGCCAATATGGCCATTTGCCATGTTGTTAGAAATGTTAAGAGATGCAGCCCACATCTGGAAGGCACCAGTTAGAGGAAGCTGAAATAGTGCAACTGTCAGATTACATCTGAAAATATTTTGCTGCAATAGACAGCGGAAATTGGTTTTTGAAAAAACTTGAAGTAAATGGAACAGCATGGGAACACAGACATTTTGGATGAATGAATGAATAGAAATATCTTTTCTCTTTTTTTATGAAATCAGACCTAAAAAGGATTTAACTGAACACATCTACTGCAATATAAACTCTGTTGAATTCAGTGGGACCTACTTCTGGATGGAAGAAGTAGAAAAATTGGATGGAGAAAGAAATCTGGAATTGGACTTAATTTTCAACTTTATAACTAGTTCTCTGGGCTTGTAAAAGGAATGCATTCCCAGGTATTCTGCCTTCTTATCTGTACTGAATGAATAAGGGCCAAATGTTGCTGCTTTTGCTGTACAACAATTTGTACAGATAAAAAAAATCCATCTGTAATATCCTGGTTTGTCCTACATCTAGTATGGTGTGGGCAGATCATACTCAGAAGTAGAACAAAACTGAGAAGCTATTTTTAATGCTAGGACTTGAAATTCAAGAAGAAATATTAAAGACAACCATATGCAAAGTGCCTTCGTAATAGCATCTGCTCTCCCCACTGCCACCACCCACTCCCTCCCAAAAAAAGTCTGGAATTAAAGTTTCCAAGTAAGTGGATATGCCTTACTGGCGTGACTTAAACTCCAGTGTCTTTTTGTAAAATTAATATCTATCTGGAACAATAGTAGGATCAGCTTCCATGCCTTTGCAACAAAGATTGGGGGTTCATATTTAATCCTGTCAAGATGCTTAATTCATTTTAGAAGTCAAACTCATATGTCCAAAAAACAGACTACACATGATTGTTGCCTGCAAAATGGTGGAAAGTTTTCTCTTCATTAGAAATTGTACTGTTTGCTGGTAGATAGCTTATCCAGTTTCCTTGTAACACAGGCTGGGGTATATTGGCTTTGGTGCTCTTCTAAAGTCATCTGCTGCCAGGGAAAGCAATGCAAACAGGAAAGGAGAAAGAGAGGCAAGAGGAAACTTGGCATAGTAAATGTGGTAATGGAACAAAGTGTTTTATATGACACAAAGCAAAAACAAAACAGAAGGATGAGTGGGATGGCAGGCGACTTGGAAAAAAACAGACAACACCAGATAAGCTATGGAAGGAAGAAGCTATATTTACACTAACTTAGATGGAACAAGAAGGAGAGTAAAAGCAATATCTTCATTTATTTTAATATGTTAGTGAGAGATAAAGGGTATTTGTTTTTTGTCCTTCCTGAACTGTCCCTTCTCCTGTCATCTCCTTACCTGAGAAATGGTGAGCAGGATTTGTTGATGCACAACAAGAAGGAGAAAAGGGCAGGGTGGACAGTTGGACTATAGAAGGAATCACTGGTATTTCATCTTCTGTTTCAAAAGAACATAGAAAAGTCTGTGTCTGATGTCCTGGTTGTATTCCCACAGCAACAATCCAGTTAAATGGGATGATATCAAGGCATCTCTTGGGTATCTGTAATAGTGCCTTATGGCTCTGAAAGGAACTGCTGTTGCTGTGTACCCTTGCACACACAAATATCCTTGACTGGATTCACCTTATAAACAATGGTTTACTAAAAACTACTATTGGTTGGGTTTGCAGAACACACTAAGACATACGTCATTATTTAGATGCCATGATGGCTGAGTTCACACAACACTGTAAAGCTAAACCAACAAATCACATTATGACTGAACCTAGTCATCACTCCCTTGGTGCTGGGAACTGAAATGTGGACTTTGGTTCCCAGAATTCTCAGCAAGCCATGCTGGCTGGGGAATTCTAGGGTACATGATAGGTGAACCTAGCCTTTGTGTCTTATCTGCAGCAACAATGCATCCTCTATTCAGGTACAGGTAGTCCTCACTTAACGACCATAATTTGGACCGGCAACTGCATGATTAAGCGATGCAGTCGTTAAGCAAGACATCACGTGACTGTGACAGACTTATGACCTCACTTCCGCTGTGGTCGTTAAGTGAGACATCACATGACCAACTTGCAATTTTACTGCTGGCTTCTCCATTGACTCCGCTTATCAGAAGCCAGCTGTAAAGAACACACATGGTGATCATGTGACGGTGGGGATGCTGCAACAATTGTAAGTGCAAGAACTGGTCATAAAGTTACTTTTTTCAGCACTGTCGTTACTTCAAATGATCGCTAAACAGGGCAGTCATTAAGCGAGGGCTACCTATACTAAATGGGATATCGCATTTGCAGACAACGTCCATCAAATGCAAATGTCATTTGTTTCCCTTTCCAATGGTGCCTGATCTGAATGAACAATTGATGAGCTGCTAAGCTGCCTTCTCTGCAAGTATAGAAAACAGCCCTTCTTCCAAAACAACACATGCATCAATCAAATTCCAAATTTCCCCCCTAACATTTTTTGGCAAGCCAAACAATTATAAAGAACATCTATGCTGAATCTAGTTCAACTTTCCATTCTGAGTAACTGATATTCAGGGCAATGTCATCTCTGATATAGGAAGTAAAATATAGTTTAGTTCTGACTAGCAGCATGCAGGATTTCATTTGGCTTAGCTAATAATTCATTTAAATTTCCTACTGCATTGCTTGTGCACTACTTGGCAGTAGTGGCTATGGCAATTATTGTAATTAGCTGGACCAGCTTCTATCAGTTTGAGAATAAAGAGGCTTTCAAGTAAATTCTTTAATCTGAAGAAAAACTGAAAGTACAAAAAGCTATTTCTGAAATCTGAAAGAGCAAACAGAAATAGGCCCATCTTTTTAAAATGTTTTTTAGATTTTAACTTCTTTTCTTTCTGCAATATCAGACAGAATCAAAGTAGCTAAAATTTTCAGTATTGTGGCTTTCCTTGCTATATCCTAAGAACACACCAGAGAGTTATTTTTTACATTTCACCCTAGTTTTCCCAGAATTAGTAAACCTCAGCAAAACAGAGTATATGAAGTTCACAATCTGCAGCTAGAAGCTCAGTGATTGAAGATATATACTTGACACCAGGTTAGCATATAAAGGGAGAAAGTTCCAAACTAGCTTTCTTCCTGAATTTCCAGTTGTTCAGAAAATTTTGTGCTAGGATTTTAATTTTAATAGCAGTTATTTTTTATGGTGGAATATTAAATTGCGTGAGCCATCTGAATTGGTTCAACTACTCACAAGTTTCCCGTTTCACTGAGATCACACTCTTGTACTTAGTGTTTGCGTGTGTGTGTTTTACCAAAAGCCGTATAGCTCTATAAGCGTATCATGATGTAGGCAGATAAACCTTGTAAGAAAGGCTAGCCCAAAACAACTTAGCCTATCGTTACACTTCAAGTAATTACCATTGAATTCAATCCTGATTATAGTATTGTGCTGTCTGTGAATTTTAGGACTGATTTCTGTCCACTCAAATTACCTATGTTAACATTCTAGGCCATTGTTTACTAAACATTTGATACTCAAGTGACCTTTATTCTTTAATTTATGAATGTCTTGATTGGAAGGATGCAAGCTGACAGCAAATAGTTTATTATGCAGTGATTAATATACGGATCACATAGTTCCTGATACAAAGATAGAGTCCGAGAATCTCCAGTCTTCATTAGAGGCTTAACTGGAAGAAGTTTTATAGTGGAAGAGGACAGACCAAAGTGGATCAAAAGGCTGACTCCTCTTTGATGGTTAAGGTTCTATCTTGCTGATGGAAACAGCGATGGAGATCTTTACTGATGCAATTATTTTACCAGCACACAACATTTAGGAAGTCATTAAAAGTCAAAGATTTCCAAACTTGGTCACCACTCTTATGCTACAAATTCAGTCCATTCCAGAACCCTTGACAGTTATAGACATACCAAAAACAATGTCTGGGTCCATGTATAATGCTAAACCAGAATTTGGATACTGAATAAATCACCATGGTGTGTTGGCTTGCAATTAACATAAAAACATAATGCTTTGCAGATCATGCACATGATGTCTTAGCATTGTGTGTAAAGTAGTCCATAGAGTCATATGCATCTTATTTCACAATATAAAATGTTATTCACAATAGCAAGTTAGCATACATTAACATAAGATAATCCTGCCATAGTGAAAAATTACTTAAATGTGGAAAATTTAAGAT